CACATGTAGTGGGATCCAGCAGGTCTATTGTATAGTACCCATGTAGTGGTATCCAGCAGGTCTATTCTATAGTACACATGTAGTGAGATCCAGCAGGTCTATTTTATAGTAAACATGTAGTGGTATCCAGCAGGTCTATTCTATAGTACACATGTAGTGGTATCCAGCAGGTCGATTCTATAGTTCACATGTAGTGGTATCCAGCAGGTCTATTCTTGATTTCCTCACTGTCCTCTGAGCATACTAATTGGTACAGTATATGGATTTAAAATCTGTGTATGCCAATGTCATTACGATTTGGTTTTGTGTAAGTGCAAATATTGATGCTTTCTATCTAAGCTCTCTGTCATATCCGCTGATTCCATCATGACAAGTTGCACTGTTCTTATCAAACAATGATTTTGAAGGAGCAAAAGTAAATCTGTGCTTGTAACAATATTGCTGTGTCCATTATGTTCAATAACATACAAAGCGAAGTCAATAGCTTTTGCATCGGCTCTGGGAACTGACACACCGCCATGTGAGGAAAGCAGCAGAAGAATTAAAGCTTACAATATCTGTGTTATCCGGATCTTCCAAAACCTTCTTCGTCAGTAACTCTATAATGTTACGGTCAAAGTTCAAAGAAGTGCTGATTTTCCAACGAAAATTCAGGCCGTAACAGTCTAGGATATTTTGATGAAAACGAAAAGGAAACCAATCAGCCAAAAATTGATGAAGAACATTGTAATAAGGTCGCGATGACCTCAACATACAAATCAAGGGCCAATAGTCTGTGAGTAATTTTATCTGGGATGTAAAATTTAAACTACACATATAAGTGCAAAGCAAATATGCGTATTGATTATTATATGGGGAAGCATGTGTTTCTTAACAAAATTAATATTTTGTTGCGATTGCTTTTGCTGCGAAACTAGACGCATTACTGGGTAAAGGCAGGAAACAATACGAAATACATTGTGCTTTTTCATTTGATTAGTACAATGTACCATAAAAACACAAATTACGAAGGAAGATAATTTATAAACATGCATTGTCCTGGTCTCAAGCTCAAGATAAGAGGCACCAAATTGTCTAGTCGAGAGATACCAGCAAACGTTTCCACCACACCGCCCAGACATCTAAAACACAGACACTCATGTTTCAATGACCCCCGGCCTAGAACCCGCCACATGATCATAGTTAAAAATAAACTTTCGATGGTTAAAGTACATATTTTAGTAATATATAGATACGAATCGCAGATATTAAATATTCGTCACAGAATAATTGAGTATATCATATCTTTAACCTTCAGATCAGCATGCACTAATGAATATGTCACATTGTTTGAACTACGTTGTCTGAAAAGTGTCTATATTGAACTTTAAGTATATCTGACCATTTGTACAGTACTGTATATGTTAACCACGTTCAACTGAATGTGAAGTATACACTGCATTGTTCTTATCTGGCCTTAGATTCGACATGGTGTCTGGAACTTCCGTTATGTAGCGATAGGAAAGGACCAGGTACATAGAAATTATAGATTTGCACGACATAAACGTGACATTTGAGAATCATACAAAGACAGGGAAAACAACATCAGTTTTGTCATTGATCTTTATTCGTCAACAGGTGTCTCAGATATATGTACATGCTAACATATGTGTCCGAAGTCGATATTAATGAAGTATTTGACATACAGGGTAACACGTGTCCGAGGTACATGTAGTGCAATGTTATCTGTTTTACAAACATGTACATATAGTAAGAAGTATAGGAAAATAATATAAACTCGAAACAAGCTTGCTAGTGACATATTCTGAAGACGACATTATAATTCGAGGTTCCTATATACCGCTTTATCACAACCTAGTTTGTAGGTGTTCACAAATTATTATCCGTCGTTATAGGGCCTTTGCAACCAGCCAATACCTTTCTCAACTCCCTGGGGAGCATACAGCCTGAGCTGCCATTTCGGCGATAGCAGCTAGCATTCATCAATTCTAGCACTGCCCAACCACGTACTCATTTACAGCTGAGTAGACTGGAACAAGCGGAGTAAATTATCTTGCTCAAAGATACAACAAATTGCCGTGCCGTGGCGCGAACCCGCAACCCTTCGGTCACGAGCCCGGCGTCCTACCACTGGACTACCGTGCATCCTCAGGGCATTAGCAGGGCCTTCATAAGTATAAACACTTTTCAGTTGATGTGAATTCAGGCTCTGGCTTAGAATTCAGAAAGCTTTTACATAGTTATATAACATGTCATTCCCTTTTTATGGTAAGTCTTCTAAAACAAAAAAAGTGAAAAGAAAAAAGCACTGCAAGATGAATTGAATATATAATGATAACCGAACATGTGATATATACAATGACAGAATCCGGAGCAAGCGCACTTTTTCTTTTTCAAATTTAGGACGACAAACTTATATTTCATTAATTGCAAATAACGATCAACTTATGGCATCAAAAATGGTTGAGTGCCTAAAACACAACTTTATCAAAAGAAGGGAGCACTGAGTTTTTGAATAATACCCTGTCCATAAAGTTTACATAACACATTCTAACAACCTACAATGCATTTAAAATAAATATAAATAAATATAACTAAAAAGCTATTGTTAAATCGCCCAGTTGTCCGCACTATCTAGATCTGCGGACTGTGTGTACGATGTATGCACGATACGTTTGGTTATACGATCACACAATTGCATTTTCAACATTTTAAAGCAGGTTTATTGTTTCTTGATTTATCTTTAGTACAATACGTTGTTTTAATAAAAGCGATTGATATATTAGACCATAAAGCCACAATTACAATGTTAATAATTCAATCAAGAAAACGTAAAGTGTAAAGTATATTTAACACGTTCCAAGTAAACAAATTACTTCGACTTAAGACATAAGTGCAAGGTTAAACATCTTATAATTTGAAGAAAATCCCCCCCAAAAAATAACTGATAATCTCTAGATATCACCTATTCTGTCTTTGCGTATTGCAGATTTATCTTCTCTTGGGAGCAGGTATTGATTGTTACGTCATTGGTTTGTGCGAGAAAATTACGTCGTTTTCTCAAAAATTGATGACGTTACACTCACAAACAAGTGACGTAACAATCAATACCTGCTCCCAAGAGAAGATAACTCTGCAATACGCAAAGACGGAATTGGAACTTCTTGCCAGGCATGGGTAGTTTAACTGACTGAAAAACGTCTGTGATAAACATCTCTTTCATTGACATGGAATGTTATAGAGTAATCTAAGCTCGTGTTTGTTTACTGCCTTACTGGCTATATACATATACATTATGTTGATTAACTGATGTATTTTTAAAGAGTTTAAATAGCACATGATTAAATGTTACATCGTTGTCAACTCACATCACTAATAAAACACAATCTAACATGTTCAGATATGCAAACTCCATGTCATTAAAATATATATATATAAAAGATCATACTCTTTTCAACAATTTCATACAATAAGTAAAGTATTCTGACGCCTTGTAAAATAAAGGTGTCTAATAATGTTTTTTTTTTTTCAATTTTCAATTTGAGCACAGTACAGCGACACAGTATTTTTCTCTATTAACACGCTTGAATGTCTGCCTGTACATTTCACAGCGCTAGTATAGATACTTCCCAAAACGCTAGCTAACATCCCCAACACTTCCACTACACAACACCAATACAATTTGCAAAACATACGATCCACAAAGCTAGTAATCTTTCACAATATACACACTCCACAAAGCTAGTAATCTTTCACAAAACATACACTCCACAAAACTAGTAATCTTTCACAAAACATACACGCCACAAAGCTAGTAATCTTTCACAATATACACACTCCACAAAGCTAGAAATCTATCACAAAACATACACTCCACAAAACTAGTAATCTTTCACAATATACACACTCCACAAAGCTAGTAATCTTTCACATTATACACACTCCACAAAGCTAGTAATCTTTCACAATATACACACTCCAAAAAACTAGTAATCTTTCACATTATACACACTCCACAAAGCTAGTAAACTTTCAAAATATACACATTCCACAAAGCTAGTAATCTTTCACAATATACACACTTCACAATGCAAGTACTCTTTCACAATATACACACTCCACAAAGCTAGTAATCTTTCACAATACATACACAGATATGATATTTTATGATTTTCCACGTTCATAAGTATGTTATGTATGTGTAAGCAAATACTGAAAAAGTGTCTATGTAATGGCCATTGGTTCGTTATAATTACTACATTATATAAGATGCTTAATATATATCATAAAGCTAATGAGACAAAATCCATCTTTCAAAACATACAAAATAGACACATAATACATCCAAAGATTTACTTGCTGTATTTGACTGACAAACCTTTTCGAGTCATCTCCCTTTGACTGTTTGAGCACTGATAGCCTATACTAGAAGAACAACGACCCGATTAATATTTGACAGCCAACGCTGTATCGACGTCACTAACCTGAGTGTTAAACCATGGTTTGACTCAAAACCTACCTAGAGGGACGGACAGAATTATAACTAAATACGCAAGCAAGAAAAGTTAGGTCCTCGGAACTGGTACGTACTGTAACGGCACCAATGCTACCAATACTTTGATAACTTGTATTACTTAAATCTGATATCATTATGCTCACAATGTCATTTAACATAGTATCCAATCAACCCAAATATATTTGATGACTGATGTGCTTAGAATATTATGTAGAAGAATGCACATGTTCATTTACATACAGAAAATAGATATAGGTCAACGTTTAATCGATTTATACACACTCGGCGTCGTTTGGTTTCTGTAATTACACAGACAGTCCTGCTACAGGTAAACAAGTCTTTTTAATGAACATATTTATCGTCCTTGCTTAGCCTAAGTTTGAATTAAGCTGCTGATCACCCATCAATACAATTTGTAATTGGAAAGGATATTACAAAAATATAACCAGTGTCATTTTAATCTATTCGTATAAAACAACCTGTATTATGTTAATGGTTCAGTGTATTAACAGTTATGAGGAACATCTTCTAAACTTTATGAAATCACGAGTTGTTATCACTTGCATTCATTACATTCTCGCCGAAAATTGCTTTCTATTCCCGTCACTGGTATTCAATTCGGTAGACTCAGTACTTTATTATCCAAACCCTATGGGTGTTGACATGCAACCATTCATTTCGTTTCCAGTCTTATGACGTGAAGGTTGTAGATCATTCTTATGTAGTCGGCCATTTGATCGATGCCAATTTGAAATAACTAGGCAACAATGGCTTGGCCATTGATGAAGAACTTCCATGATGATCATGACTGAAAGGCAAATAAGTATCACGGGGATACCATCATATACCGGAAATGACCTACTTCTCTCAGCGCGGGTAATCATGTTCAGGAATAGGCTAAGGTGTACCTTCCGCTGCTATAACGACGTCCTCGGAGACAAGCTGCTCGTTCGCCGAGTTCCGGTCTCGTTCTGAGTTGCCGGTGTCCCGGATGAGACCCAGTTTGCAGTGGTACCAAACGTTGATCGGGTGGCCGCATGACACCAACAGGAGAACCAGCAGTAGTAGGTTTATCTGATAAACAAAATGAATTTAATATCAGAGGTTTTCAAAGGTAACTATATATTAATATCAGAGTTCTACAAAGGTAACTATATACTAATATCAGAGTTCTACAAAGGTAACTATATACTAATATCAGAGTTCTACAAAGGTAACTATATACTAATATCAGAGTTCTACAAAGGTAACTATATATTGATATCAGATTTCTACAAAGGTAACTATATATTAATATCAGAGTTCTACAAAGGTAACTATATACTAATATCAGAGTTCTACAAAGGTAACTATATACTAATATCAGAGTTCTACAATGGTAACTATATACCAATTCAGAGTTCTACAAAGGTAACTATATACTAATATCAGAGTTCTACAAAGGAAACTATATTCTAATATCAGTGTTCTACAAAGGGAACTATATACTAATATCAGAGGTCTACAAAGGTAACTATATACTAACATCAGAGTTCTACAAAGGTAACTATATACTAATATGAGAGATCTACAAAGGTAACTATATACTAATAACAGAGTTTGACAAAGGTAACTATATACTAATATCAGAGTTCTACAAAGGTAACTATATACTAATATCAGAGTTTGACAAAGGTAACTTCATGCGTAGGACTATCTGCTTTGTGACAGATAGTATAGGCCAGTTGTAATAGTTCTATGTTGTTTCGGTGAACCTTGTTAATACATTATTATCAAGCTCCCTTTTATAGAACAATAGTCGTAGTTATGCGAGAAGCAGACGTCAATATCTGGCATCGACCAAGGTGAAAGCAGCGTCCGTAAAAATATTGCAATGAATTCTCGAATGTAGGAAATTTATGGTAATAGCTGTTTCGATTGATAGATGACGTGTATTTATCGTTAAGACTCTATAGGGACAGCTTGCCAATATCTAACCTGAATAATGTATTGGTTCACGAAGACCAGCGATACAAATATTGACAGGAAAGTAAACACTTCAGATTGAGTTCATTATCAGGTTTAATTGGTACTTGATGACTCGTAGGGAAATAATTAGTTGCGCGCAGACTTCAGGAGTAATCCGCCCAGTCACCTCGATTACGCGCAAAGTCATATTGAATACAATCATTTGTCATAATACTCTATAATTCAAACGAACAATTTTTAACGAAGTAGTAGAACATGGTCTCACTGTCCACTTCGTCTCTATTTTTGCAGTAATTGATGGTGGCGACGGGATATCACTATGGGATACATGGGGGATATATGGGGTTCAATAAAATGTACAATAGAATGCGGTTCTCTCAATACACCTACTTGCTTTTAATTACGTCACTACAATAAATGACTAACACTCCACTATTATATATGATATGTACGAGATAGCCATATATCACTTGTGTAGCTGCTGTCCGCCCTAATACGTACATAGAATGGATCCCCGTGCAGTGATTTGGTGATGAAGGACTGAAATGGGAACCGCAGCAAACTAACGATGCTCGCTACAGCAAAATGCAGGCCGATGAGTTTCCCAAAATGTTCTATCGGAAAATTTCTGTGGAAGAAACATAAACATAGTTAGTTAGAAAAGTCTGCATATGTAATATCAGGTCAAACCAATTTTGAACATGAAAATAGTTATTTCAGTGCTAATTTGAGAATACTATGTGTTTAGGTAAAGGCAATCAGCCACAGCTTGGGGTACAAAACATCGAAAACAACGCATGAATGTCTGTGATAACCACGCCTATAGAACGCCATTCTGACTGTCTAATTGAATATCACCGGAAACGAAGCCCATTCCAGGGAAATATTCGCAAAAAAGAGTAAAACGTTATTGGGTGACTTTCACTTCGATATCGGAGCCGCAAAGTGATCGTTCAGCAGGGTTGCCAACTTGTCAATTGGAAGGCGCGTTCTATTGTAACGTAATTGTTTCTTTAGACATCATCACATTAGCCTTAAGTAACGTGATTGGAATGTATGCTTTTTAAGAATCAAATTCGATGTGTTTTAGATTGGAAAAATATCCATTGTTAAATGAAATCAATACTAAACTTCATCAGACCACTGTTGCATTGCGCATTGCGTTTGTATTCAGTTTGGTAAACAAGTTAATGTTTTAAACGCTGAGGCTTTACTGATCCCTGGCCTGGGAAGTGACGCCAATACACGCGATCACTTGAAGAATGTGCCGCCAATACATGTGCGAGGTGTATAGAGCGTGTTTTCCTGACGCCCGCTTTGGCCCCAGAGACAAGATGATGTATGGATTTATAGATTATGTCGGGAGCTACATGTAACATTTGATTTCTTTTCTTACAACCTTTTAAGAGCTCTTAGCATACGAGACAAATCACGATACACCAGTTCAATATTATTGTTGTTCTTTTTAGAAATTTCTCTCGTAAAGCATACAGGGAACCACATACACTTCAGTCATTTTGTAGCCTGTATTGCATATTTGTTTTCGTTTGCGACATATTTTCAATTTTAATCAGTCAGCGTTGTGGTAGATTTATATTTTAACGGATCCGTTTTTCAGTTTAAGGACAAATTTTCTCATTATACTATTAACTGGAATGTAATTTAATGTCATTAATTTTAACAAGTTTGGTAGTCTTCTACGGCAGCAAGCTACTTAAGAAATAATTAACGTTTTTGCGTGTATTGTGGTGGAATATATGCCGACTGGAACTCGAAAATGTTGTAAAGAAATAAGCCACGAAGGCCGTAGGCCTGACTGACTTACATTTTACAACAGTTTCGAGTTCTAGTCGGCATGAGTGACTTATTTTTAACAACATGTTTGAGTTCGAGTTTTATATTTTACCACAATACACGCAAAAACGTTAATTATTTCTATTCTACTACATCGTCAATTTGCCCTTGCAGTCTTGTTTGAACTTCCCTCTCACTTTAAGCCACCGCAGTGATCATCAGCTTTATGCAAATGAGCGCGTGCATTTCGTACGGTCTGCTCATTTGTTGGTTTGAAAGATGGCGATGATGCCAAGCACCTCGATACATTTATCAACCTTGCAAGAAAATACGCAGACAGTCGAGGAGAAAATAATACATAAATCCAGCTTATTCTACATCCCGAAAGACATCGACATATGAAAAATGTATAAACAAAACAAAGCTGAGCCCGGAAAGATCGCCAGGGGGCCAAGCCAGATTTATAACAAGAATCTACTATAGGCAAAAATGAACTATCAGCATATATTGCTAAGGTGAGATTTCTATTCAATAGATGAATAGACTTTTTACTATTTCTGCAAAATAATTGCTCCGATTTTCAGAAAACCATGCCTGTCAAAATGTCATAAAGTAGGTCACATTTGACTTGCGCGGTAGTGCAGTAGTGTCAGGAGTTATATTTACCATTTAACGTAAATATTTGGATATACGGACGCGTACTAGCAAGTCATTGAGACAAAAAATGTTCTCATATCCTTTCGTGAAAAGGAAGCCTAGATTTGTATTGTATATATATTACATACGTCAACGAAGATACAGAAATCACAACATGACAGCAGTATTGTATTGTGCCATGCTTAACGACCTATCGATAAAAAGGGTAATAGATCAGAGGACAAATAAATAAATAAAAAATACGAGCAACGAAATTTTCAACCTGTTTCATTTGATAAAAAGTGTAAAAACACGTCTGGTATAATCTACATAGTATGACTGTCTAATATATCAATGAATTATAGGATCACTGGAACGGAAATTGTTTTAAATAGAAAACTTATACTTCATATATGAACCAGGTCGATACAGCTAATCATAAAGTGTTCTACAATGAATGGCTTGTCACATTCGATACTGTATGGTTGGTCTTAGGCTTAAGTTAGTACATGTTAGCTTGGGTAATATATGTTTGACCTATACGTACTTGGAATACCATTGTTTTTTCATCACTGCTTTTACTCTTACCCTGACACTGTCTACGTTTAATTGGTATGACATTATGTAAATTATCAACGGTTTTCTCAGCCATATTTGCTATCACTTCAGAGCTGCACCATCATTCGATATTGTAAAATTGTATTTTTCCTTCTTTAGGCATATGCTACAAGCTCAGAACAACGTTGACAGTTTTATCCATTTAGTCTATTCCGACATCGTTAGTACATTTGTAAATATAATTAAATCGAAGATTCAATTTTTGAATCAAGCTATTTTTCACAGTGCCGGTATTGATACTGTTTTCAAATTGCAAGTTTCGATGCTTTACTCACATTCGTAACAAGATTTAGTAACTGCATTTGTTCGGTTTTATAGTTTCGTTACAACGACTTCACAACACATAAGACCCCGCGATAAAATAGTTCTAGGTCATTTTTGCACAAATTTCATACTCTTTCATCCTTGTATGTTACATGCTAAATATAAAACAAACATAAAGAAATTGTTAAAAGGAAAATGCTGGCAACGGACAGACAGATCACAGAGGATTTCTCACGCCAAAATATCAATTTCATTAGGGAAGGTATAAATGTTAAAAAAGAGACAAAATATAAATGCTACTCCGTATTGTGTGCGTAAGAGGACATGAATGTTGTACTGAGGGTTTATATAGCTTGCTAACTGGCTATATATTGTACCATATGGAATCCAGAAAACAATGATACACCCGAAAACCGTGTTACACTGTACCAATTAAGAGCCATTTCTCCTTGATGGCATCAGTAACATCTTTCTATGTAGCCTGGTTATTATCGCAGAATTGTGACGAACAACTCCTAGTTATTGTGAGTAGGTACATACATACCAGGAAACGTTAATCTACAATCATGGAGCGTGTTGAGAAAATGTATTGTCCCTGAGGGATTCCTTGGGTTGTTATAAAGATAGAGCCAAGTGCTTTCCTCTATATGATCTCATACAGCAGGGGAATCGCTCTAAAGGACACCGCTACCGTAATTATACTCTCCACTCTGAATGCGTTTTTGGTCTCTGTAAATTATTGTACACGACCGATTTTATGCCATTATAGTCCTATTTCCAATATGACAGATAGCACTTTTCCATTAGATGACAACGGGAGTAATTTTCGCAGCGGGATGTGAACAATTATAATTTCAAAGCGCGTGCTTGTTGGTTTTAATTGGGAGGTATTGATGATCAAAACTAGTGCAAATACCTGCAGGCTTAGAACGGTAAACCCACATCAAGGTAGTTTTACATACAAACAAGAAACTACGTGACAAAATGCATCTGGTATTGATATTAACCGTGTGAGTGTAGACAATACCGTGGAAACTTTTATATACACGAGCATCGAGAAATGATTACTCGATCCTATAAACCGTTTTTCTTCGATAGAGCATCATTAAAATACATAAGAGAGGACGATAAACATCTGCCATCCTTCAAGATGTTAAAACTGTCTTAGCATTGCAAAGATGTATGTGCAAAAGCACGAAAATGTTTAAAAAAAACCCACAAAAAAACCTTTGCTTTTTCTACGATGTATATAACCGAATGGTGCTGTATTAAATAGAAGAGAAAAAGGTAAAAAAGAAAGAAAAATATCACGTAGAACTTGGTTTAGTTTGGTTTGGTTTAGTATTGTTTAACGTCCTATCATCAGCTATGGTCATTTAAGGACGGCCTCCCCTGTGTGCAAGATGTTTTGGGAGGCTGAGATATGTTCGTGTTTGTCTCCTTGTGATAGCGCGGAACTGAAGCCGACTTAATAGTGCTACCTCACTGAAACATACTGCCGAAGACACCCAGCAGGACACCCCACCCGGTCACATGATACTGACAACGGGCGAACCAGTCGTTCCACTCCTAAATTCTTGAGCGTTAAGCAGATGGCGGGGTGAGGATAGAGAGGAAAATGTATTTATGGATTGATTTGGTTTCCATGGGTCAAATAAGGTCGTTCGAGACCGTTCTTGCATATGTATCATGCGACATGCGTTATGTGCTGAGAAAGCATCATGGTAACCTGTCTCCTTGCGATAACGCACATCTGAGCCGACTTTAAAAGTGCTACCTCTCTAAAATACCATGTCGAGGGCACCTACATGTAGCACAGCGTTCCCGAAGTATCCTACACTGCACACATTCCATTGGCAGTTGAACGGGAATTGTTAACAGCTGGATAATAATCCCATCGTTTTTACGGAAGCGTTTATAACGCCTGTCGTATTTGGATCACCTATCGGACGTGACGTCAGTAGGTTTTTTTCAGCGGAAGTACGGAATTTGCGACGTCTGGTGGTAACCTCCGTTACAGAAAATGCTAGGGAGACACCTTTTTTAGCATTTCGTTCATAGCATATGTAAGAATTACGAACTTATTCTAATATCCTGAGAATGTTGTTAACATTTTAGTTTTCACTGTTTTCAATAACACTAAGATCATTGACTTTAAACTTTTGCACTATCTTACATCTACATCGATTTTTGAACATTTATCAAATTATAAAAAATACTGTTGGAAGGGAGACAACTACGAGATAGAAATTACGGATGAGGACAACGGTTACAATACAAGTAAAATAGTTCTCATAACAGCGAAGCACAAATAAATCATAACTTTTTTTATCGTTAGTTTTATTATGTATATGTCGACATGCAGTGTACCTTGGTTCAAAGATTAAAATTCAGCATCATAATCATTATTGATACCCCCCCCCCCCCCCCCCCCGCAATGAAGAAAGAGGGGTGGGGGTAGGGGGTGGGGGTATTTTGTCCGAAAAACTACAGTTTTCATCCAAACGTTTCGAAACTTTGTGGATATGGTCATCCTCCACTGAAACGGGAACCAACTATTTTTGTGGTAGTTATGCCCCTTTTAGCTATGATTTGTGGTAGTTATGTCTCTTTTAGTTATGATTATAGACAGAATCCTGTCTGGCCAACTCCTAGAGTTTTCATCCAAACTTTTCGAAACCTCACTGATGTAGTCAGTACACACTGATGATGTGGATTTGCGCTTTCTGTTTTGATCCGAGTATTATTAGGGCAGTTTTTCCTATGTTTGTAGACACAATCTTATCTGAACAACTCCTCCTACAGTTTTTATATAAACATTTCACTGGTGTAGTCAGCAAACGTTGTGTTGTGCAACTGCAACATTTTTTGTTCAATCATTTAATGGCAGTTATGTCCCTTTCCTATATGTTTGTCGACGGAATCTTGTCCGAACAACTCTTCAAACAGCTTTCATGCAAACTTCTCGAAATGTATGTAGTCAGCACACATTTACACAGAAGTTGTGCACTTTGATTACTGGTTGATCTGGTATTTTCCCCTTTTTATTTTTATTAACAAGTGTTTGGGCCAAAATGGCAATCAGTTGGGGGAGCGGGGTATTAGTCAGCCATCCTGGCGACAGTTCCAGTTGAAAATTATCTGAAGTTCGTGTGTTTGATAAGCGGGTAACTTTGATGCTTAGTAGTTCTAAGTTTAAAAATAAGTACTTGCTCTTGAATGTATATCAATAATCGTGTTGGCATCTATAATTAGTACTTACAGTACTTTGATTTAATATACACTTGCACATTTCTAGAAGTACATGTAGAACCTCAGTTATAGCTATTTAATTTTATTTCAGATTCAAACTTTGACCCTAACTTTGACGAAGACAATCACTACTTTATTCAAGAGATTCTATCAATTTCGGACCCAGTAAAGTAGTAAGACACACAAGATATAAGAGTCACATCCGCGGCTACAATTAAAGTGCAGGATTAAGACTTGGTCAAACACTCAAGACCTCCCTGACACTTTCTGATACTTTGTTTTCATTTGTTCTGATTCAGTGTTAACCCATCAGTACGGTACTCTTCGTTCTATAACCTTAGCTTTCACGTGACATGTGATACCAAAGGCAAAGCATAAGGAAGCAAAAACTAAGCCCAAATCTGACGTCAGTTACGTTCTATTTTCAATTCACATAGTTCCCGAGGCATACAGATATGACTATCTCGTACTTCAATATTTCTGATATGCATTTTCTAAACAGCGTGCAGAAGCGCAAAATTGCTGCAAAACCGCTTCCCAATATGTTAGCTAGCAGAACACATATCTCGTATCATAATTGTTATAAGATGCACACAATTTTAACGTTATATTTAAATCCGCTTAAGGCTAATTTTGCTACAACTCCGCTCAATCAACCCTCATCATTAGCGGTGTCATAGTTACTTGACGTTCATTAGGAAGATGGTGAAACATAAAAGCGTCGATTAACTTTTTTAACAAAATGTTTTTACACGATGCATGAAAGCTTTCTAAGATTGGCAAAAATCCCGCGGACAAATGTTATTTCTATCGCATACAACGTCCTGCCTATTTTAAGTGCTACTCCGTCAAAACCTCGGGGTTACAGGGGATCGTTTTACAGATTAAAGGTGCCGATATGGGGTAAGTCACACATATATCCGCTAGTTAAATAATGAACACGTCAATTCGTCAAATATACAGATGCATTATAGAAACTTTTAAACGGACACTTAAAGCAGACCTTACTAGACAAATTTGCTTGATCAATAATTCTGAGCAGAAAATGAATCTTAGCTCTTTTTGAGGACACGATATAGAATTCCAGTTCTTTGCTCTGTCACGGCGTACTCATACTTCTACTTAATCTTATTTTGTAGCCATTTTAGGATTTAAAAACATTATTTTCGAAATTCTAATCCAGATATCAGATACCCCCGTCAAGTGTCACGAAGGACAGGACTAATTGCATCCGTTGCTGGCATGCGAACACGCTGTAATGTAACTCCTCTATGATAGAAGTTGCCGTCCCAAACAAGATCAAACCTAGAATAAAATTGTGATTGATTTGGAATCAATTCCAAAGGTTACCATGACCTTGAATAATGCGTTTTCAAGTATTATCTTATGTGTGTGTGTGTGTGTTTGTGCGTTAGCATGGTGTGTTTTGAAATCAGTTATATTCTCAAACAGGTCAATTTGTAATTCCGCTCAAGTTTTTAAAGTATTTTCTAAGCTAACGATAAGGTCGTTTTTCGGTTTTGATTATTTTACGCCCCATGGACAATTTCAGTTGTTTACGACCCAACAGCGCGATAAATATAGACGTTTACCGAAAATTGTATGTGGAATGCAATTAACAAAGATTAAATAGGCTAAAAAGTGTACGATATGCAGACATACTTCAGCAGCGAACGGATTAGTGGTAAACTATACCATATCGTATCGTACAGATAAACTCAGTGTAAATAGTTATATACTGGTGACATTGAAACCCTCTCAATAGTTCATAATCATTGACAATGATTAACCAGAGGTGCTTTGGACAAACCCACCAAACGTGAGAGTTGGTAGGAAATAGTATCATTATTAAAATGTTCACTCCCCATCAATACAAAAGAGGTCAATAGGGCCAATAAAATGTCAAAAAGACATAATGAAAGAAATGACGACAAACTAATGAAATGGTAAAAGACAAAGAACAAGTTGAAAAGTAAAATGTGTTTTGCTTAGTTACAATAACCTCTTCTTAACTAGACAAAAGGTTTTGAGGTAGTTAATAATTGTAGGTTTTTGATGTTTCAGAAAGGATGTGATTAAAATGTTCATATCGTGTTGGCTAAAGGTTGATGTAGTCTACAACAAGTGTTTTATTGTTTCTTGTTCTATCCGGAGACGGCAAGGACAACCTCACAACGAAACGGTAAAGGTGATATGCAGGCAGTGACATTCATGATAACTTTGTGTTATTATTATAATAACATGATTAACGACTGATCAATACAGCAAACGCTTATAGTACAAATAGTTTGGTTTGGTTTTATTTTGTTTAACGTTCTTCTAACAACTAAGTAAGGCCATTTAAGGATGTTAGTCCATGTAATGTATGCGTACACTTGTATATGTGCGGTGGATGCATGGTATGTTGGCGTATTTGGCTCCGTGCGATAATGCGTATCTGATGCCGACTTTATAGTGCTACTTCACTGAAATATTATCTAACATGTCACCCAGCGCTGTATTAAATCTGACCAAGTTATACTGACAACGGATGAAGAAGTTGTTACGATCAATCTAAATGCTGAACGTTAAACCGAGTGTTTAGGTGCCGGATCTTTTCATTTCAAGTAATTTTAACATGAGTGGTGATTCAAATTAAGATTAAGAAATGAGATAATATATCAAAATCCTTTTAATACAAAAGACATTGTTTTGAATTTAATTATTATTTTCATGCTTTGTAGCACTAACAATGAGTCGAATTATTGCACCCTTTGTAGTGTTACCTTACATATGTTATCCAAAATGTTGCTCTCCGTAAATGTTTTATACTTACACATGAGAAACAAACGCACAAAGGCAAGTCACAACAGCTACCCTTTCAACTGTCTGTAGTACGAACCCCAACACCTGGAAGGACAGTGACGGTATTGTCGGCAGTATGTTGTTGGCCAGGGCAAACAGAAACGTCAACACCAACGCAAACAGAACATTTTGCATCTGTTGGATTTGTGGATCATTGGCTGAAATCGGAAAGACAGTTATTCGATAAAGTCATTCAATCCTGATGTTTATATAAACATGACTAAAGAGGGGGATTTATTCGTGCTCCTACGATGCTAGGATACAATACATGCATAATCGATACAATATTATCCACATCGATCCCCTGTCGGTCTTACACACTATCTACACCGGAAACACCTCGCGAAGAGAGTCCGATGACACCAGGATCAGGTTACAATATTTCTAATTGCGGAAAGCAACTTCTAAATGAAACGGTAAATGTTCCTATCAGGAAAACAGCTCAATACGCATCGATCAAGTCAACGTTTAAACCTGTATTGGCCAAGACAATTGATAAGACGGTGATTTTCATGAGCAGTTAGTTTCGATTATATTTTGAAAATATATAATTCACATATCTAAATATAGCAGGGTCCAGTAACAAACGCATCTGGCTAATTAGTATAAAACCATAACCCTGTACAAGAACTTGTCAAAGACTGATCAGTGACGTGAAGATGTCTTCAAATGCGTGTCGAGTTTTATCGGGCAACACGTGTTTCCAGTCTAATGATCTTGGTTAGGAGACTTTTAAATTTATCCTCATATGGAAGAAAACAACATGTTTGAGTCACACGTCTATTCATATCGCTAACTAAAATCATCATTTCAACGTGATGAATGGTATCAACATTCGATAGCATACTATCTTTGACAATAATGACCGACCTTTTAAAGTTAATGATCTGACTATTGATTTAGGCTTATCAGTGACGGGGCTGTTTTATAACTATTCTGCGAACAGTGTATCAAGTTACATACGATATTGATTGTTTATCCAACCTTTGCAATTACTTGCAAAACAACAAAACAGTTATTGACATTTGCAAACACATCCCTGTGTTGATCTTATTAAATACACCAAGTATATATCATCGAAGCAAGCAAGACCAAGATAAGATGCATGTTATACCTATAATGAAAAAGCGGCACTCGACGAACGGAACTGAACATCGGCTAGGGAATTGTGCAATCGCAAGCCTCTGTTGGTCTTCACATAAATTTAATCAGGAGTCGGAGTACGAAACACGTACAATCAAACTAAATCAAGCCAACCTCCCGTTGGGATATCCAAAAACGAAACAAACAAAAAATTCAATAGCCTGTATATTTCGCTTAGGAAATTAATTTCGTCTACAAATCTTTAAAAAGTCCTCATTGGTCTCGTAAAACTGATTGATGAATTGTCGAAAACAATATGCACCAATATGATGGCAAATTCATGTCACTCGGTAACCATTTGAAGGTTTACAATTTCCGAAACTAAGACAAGTTTAGCTGAATGAGCGCACCAAACATAACCGTTTTCATATTGTTTACATATAAACAAAATAGATATGTTGTCATATTATATATCCATTAATAATGCGATACGGTTCGTGAGAAATATAAACAAAACTGTTTTTTCACCAAAACGTACTTTAGGTGGAAAAGTCATTTTTGTTTCCAACCTAAAAATCGATTTAGCATTGGCATTTGTAATTTCATTCCTGATTCATCGTTGTCAAACATTTTGTCTGCCATTGTTTATCGGCCGTTTCCATTTACACACATATAGATGAGAGATTTTAACGGCCCAGTAACAATTAAAGTCATATCGACACTAACACTGTCGAAGGGCATTGAAGCATTACAAAAAAAAGTAAAAACCTGATATATGCAAAAGAAGTAGGATTTCAGGTTACTCTTCTTCCGTCAATAGAAAATGACGGTATATCTTTAAAACAAATCTTCGGTAAAGCAGTGTTATTCTTGTTTCATTATCTGGAGTCCCCTACGTAATTAAGGGTATCGTAACAGTTAAGCTCTTATGAAGACTGAAGAGCTGTTAAGCTCACCAGGCTTATAGGTTTTTCCAAAGTGCATCGTCGGTCCGTTTTACCGTTTGGCGTCAACCTTTTACAACCTTATCTTACCGCTGCAAGCCGGGGATCGAGAAAAGAATACACCTGCTGTTACACACAACATGTGTATCGTAAGAGGCGACTTATGAGGGAACCCACTGAATAATTGGGGATTTGCTGTTTTGCCCTTTGTTTGGAGACACGAACGCGACCAAAATAAATCTACTGCAACCATTGCAACATTTGGGATCTTTATTTATCTTCTTGTTTCTATCTACCTTTTATTTCCTACCGCCTTGCTTGGCAAAACCTCACATTTGGCTTTAAATTTGAGCGTCCGTCCAGGTGAGGTAGGCAATGGGTTCTGTTCCTAGGCCGGGACAAACCAAAGTCCTTAAACATGGTAGTTGCTATTCCCTGCTTTACGTTTAGCATTTAGGTCAACAATTTGTTCACCCGTTGTCAGTATAATGTGACCAGGCAGAATGCTGAGCTGGGTTCCTTCGTCATAGTATTTCAGTGAGATAACACTCTAAAGTCGGCATCAGATCCGCGCTATCACAAGGCGGCCACAACATACCCTGTCTCTTGAACTCTTACACACATGCACGCATACACAACACATATGGTGGCACTAACTAAAATGACCTTAGTTGTTAATAGGACGTTAAACGAAATAAAAATAAAACCAAACAACTTGATCTACACAATCAATAAGGCTATGATTATGATATTTACCTACAGTAGTAGCCTGCTTATCAGATGTTAGTTATTAAATGTTGTTTTAAGAATTTAATCTCTGTCAAGGTAACGGGGATTGAATGTCTTAAATTGTTTTTACTTTCTTCTCAATTACCTCGGCATAGGTTGCTGATCTTTGGCTGGTACGGTCTGGATAACTGAGTTCAACCTCTTATTACACGCTAGAGATATGTCGTCTCTCCATGTATTTATTCTAGTTGTTCGGTATGTTCATGTATTTGCCTTCATGCGATAGTGCAAATGTACATATACATACATGTACCATAGTGAAAGCACCTAGTTTAATATTCGAACCGGTGACATATTATACTGACAGTCTGTTTACTAGTCCTAACCGATACCCATGTTGCTGGCTCCGACACTTTCGTGTAGGCGCTCGTCTTCATATGATCGTGACTGTTGCGAAAATGTTAAACCCAAACAAACAAACCACTTTCCATGCATTGAGGCGTGTCTTTTTGTTTTAATGGATAACGCCTTTATTAATACATGTATTAAGGACATCATTTAGCGATACAAAAAATGATAGAGTGCGATATGTTGTTAATGCAATGATTCTAATCGTTTTGCTAATATGAACTTTTGTTACATGTATACGCGGTTAAGATACCGTAAAAGATATTAAAAACATAAACTGATTTTCCAACACGGCATAGTACACCAGTATATTCTTTCTTCTATATTCATTTTTTCTGATTTATTTTAGGAGTGTTTTTAAATGAATAAATTTATAATGTTCGACCAGAAACATAGTAGGGTGAAGTGATATCAAGTTTTTTTAAATGCATTACCTTGATATAATATCAACGTTATGAGGGTCCTCCTTCTTAAACATTGTGTACGACTTCTTCTTGATAACCAAGTTATCTATTGCCATGATATATTGGCTCTAGCTAACTGGCGTGAAGTGGTATAAGTGTCGAGTCTGGGTGAATGACATAGACAATGTTCGTGACCACAATCGTAGAGGTAAGGTAAACATTCCAATCAAAGTTCTTAAGGTGTAGGGTAGCACATAACAAACAAGAATCCATAACTTGTAGAGTGATGATCTTTAGTTTATTACGTTTGACCTTGACCATAGCAAAGTCACGGATGGAAGATGAATAACAGGTGAGCGATACTCTTAAATTGACATTACATATATTAATCTGGTACAGATAATTCTTTGGTACATGGGACTAGGTGCGAAGAGGGTGCAAAGTATTGGCATAACAGTAGAAATATAATAATCACCAAAAAATAGGATTGAGGCACTATATATAGAAATAAAGTAGTTTTAAAAGACTTTCATCATACTAGGTTATTTAAGTATAAGTAAAAAGCAGGTTACATAGCCAGGTCCTTTGGTCTCTTTGTACAATTACAACATCCAAAATATATTGCTTTTCATTAATTTTCCATATTTATTAACACAGGTATTTTCAGAAATTAACTCTTTCAAATATAAAAGCGACACACGACATTGACATTGTTTACCACCACAGAAATCGTCGATCAGTTGTTGTAAGTCGAAGTAACATCGAATAAACAAACGTCGACGCTCTTTGACATGTAGAGAAAATACCCTTATATCAAAAGTGTTTGTTGTTATATTTTTTGACACAGATTGACAGGTTTCGTGTGGTTTATAAATGCGTTTCAAAACAGGTTCATGACGTTCAATGTAATACAAACAATATGTTGTATGATGAAGTCAATATAGTCCTATGAAACGGTTTTATGTTTGATATTTCGTGATATGCGATGCATTTAGGCTAGTGTAAGCATTGTACTGAACATGAATTCATGAATGACCTATCAAGGAGGATAAAGACATTCTCGTCTGTGCGCCTTTTTTCGAGGATATTATTCATCGAATGCAGGTTTCGTTTAGCTTGTTCATTTTTTCTAAATCTGGAATATTAAACATTTTTATAAGTTGATTTAATCTGGAGAGTTTAACATATTAAGTTTAAAATCAACAGACAGCAGCGCTTAGACTCGCTTTGAAATGCCTTAATATGTATTATACGTCAACGAAATCGTTTTAAGGTAAAATATTTGCCTTCAGTTAATTCATGTAGTTGAAAGAACCTCACAATGTTACTAGTACGAATTTATCTGCATTTTTGTTGTCCGCTTCATCATAAACAAATCTACATGAACTGTACGTGCCATTTTTTTATACTTACATGCTGTAGACTTCCTACGCCAATCTAATATAGCGCCAATGCACGGCCCAACAGGCAAGGCGATGAGCAGCAGCAACGCATACAGCTCCGCATAGGTGTAAACTGTAAACGAAAACAGATTTTAGAACGAGAGAAGTTCATTTCAAAACTTTTAACAACGAAATTTAAAAA